GGGTAATCAGCTACCCCAAAACCAAGAAGGGGACATCCTCCATGGCCAAGCCAGTGGAGATAGAGCAACAGTTGAACACGCGGTAAATATACACAGACAATCAAGTATTTTTGCCTCTTTGCTTCCTTTTGTTGAACTGGTGCACTCCAGTTTGAAAAAAACCCAAACACTGTTGATCGCTTGTCTTTCTTTAAATTGGGACTATTACTAGTAAAACACAATAAAAAAATTTTTCCTAGCTGACAGTTAAAGAGAATGATAAGGATTTGTCAGTTCTATTTTTTGCATTTATATTTCTTTATTATACCTATTATAAGCTGTTAAAGAGGTTACAGCAAAGTTTCTTTATCATCTTACATTTTATGTAGATTTATATCACTAAGTATCACAACAAATAACCGATGCTTAACACGTCTATGGAAATTGAAAATGTAATAAAACTGATGCTCGATGCATAATACCAGAGACCATATACCGACCGAAACCATACACTAACGAATTTAGGGTACTTCTCTCGTGACTTATGTACTTCAGTAACGTTGTTTCATAGAGAGGATTATCACCATACTAATATCTTTACGGATAAATTTCATCCGAAGACGCATTTTATGAAGCTGAAAGTTTTAATTTTCAAAAATCATGAACCTGAAACGTAACTATTTCAGTGTTTACCTTCCCATACCGAGGTATACAGTTAGACAGGCTCAACACATTGATCAAACATTGATATTATCATGACTGCAAATTTTACCGTGACAGCTGAAAAATTATCTAATCGGTTTTCCATGAACATGTGATAGGCAAGTGACTTGCATACCAGTCTGCAGTAGGTCGATTCAAAACATAGTCTGGATCGGGATCATCCCACGGCTGTATGTTCAACAACTGGTGGAATCGTCGTCAATATTCCTATCGGTCTTGCCGGTAGAAATAATTGTATGTATGTGATATTATCTGTATCTGGTATACGACCAAAATCCAGGTTTGACTTTGTAAGTTGATTTATTTGCTAAACAAGAAGCAGACATCAGTAATTAAGCGGACAGGCTCGGTCCCGCTGCCTTTTCCGGGTGTTGATGCAGCAACGTTAACTGTCCGGTATGACGTCACGCGATCACGTGACCGTCTACCTAATTATCTTTCGAAATCGCGAAATACCTTCGAGGGAGGTGCGTCTTTGATTCCTAATACAAGCTGTATAATGAAATAGTACTGTTTCTAATTGTATTCTGTGTATATTACACATTCCTAAGGGTTCATTAAGAGCAAATATAAACAACGTGTAGTGACCTTTTTAAAAATCCATTAATGTACATACAGTACAACAGGAATTATTGAGTATTTAAAGATTGTAATTGTTTATATTTTTTCACTCATTACTCACGTATTAATGTGAATATTAGCAGAACATAACTCCAGATTCAAAGACAGGTGAACAGTTAGTATTTTGTCAAGTCACCATGGGCAGCAATGCAGGCTTCAATGCGGCGGGGCATACCACTGATCAAAGCAGTTAGAAAGTCGTGGTCCATGCTGTCCCAATATCGGACCATCTCTTCTTTCATTTCAGCAATATTTGTCATATTTTTCTTATTTGGGTTACCACCTTTCCTTCATAAGTCCCCAAACATTTTCTATTGGATTTAGGTCAGGGCTATAGCTTGGCCAATCTAATAATGTCATATTTTAGGTCCGAAACCAGGCCTGTGAATGCTTTGAACGATGTTTTGGGTCGTTGTCCTGCTGGAAAATCCAAAAGTTTCCATAGAACACGTGTGCAGATGGAAGTAAATGTCCCTCGAGAATATCTGTGTACCGCTCACTGTTCATATTCCCTTCAAATACACAGAGGCGCGTTGCCCCCTAACACAGATATGCCACCCCACACGTTAAATTTCGGACTGTACTTTGGGCGCTGATACAAAGGTTTTTCAGTTTGTTTGGTCCGGGTTCAGTGTATTAGGAAACAGCCACACAGAATTCTAGAATATTTATACATATTATTTGGGATGGGGGCACTGGAGGAACTCTTACCCCATAGAACACGTGAACCGATGGAAGTAAATGTCCCTCGAGAATATCTGTGTACCGCTCACTGTTCATATTCCCTTCAAATACACAGAGGGGCGTTGCCCCTAATTTAACACAGATATGCCACCCCACACGTTAAATTTCGGACTGTACTTTGGGCGCTGATACAAAAGTTTTTCAGTTAGTTTGGTCCAGAATTTCAGTGTATTGGGAAACAACCACACAGAACTTTCATCTGAGAAGTTCACATTGTCCCAGTCAAAATGTCTATGCTGTAAGCACCAGTTCAACCTTCGCTCCTTTTGTTCAGGTTTCATGATCGGTGATGGAATTCCTCGACTTTTCTGCCAACCCATTGCATGCAGCTCAGTTCTAATTGTCTCCTTACAGACAGCCACAGTTCCTCTATCAATCATATCCAGCCTTAAGTTTTCTAAACTCCTTCGTTTGTTTATAGAAACAAGAATACCAAGCCGCCTCCTGTCACCGACAGTCAATTTTCAGGGCCTACCTGCGCCTCCCTGGTGCTCAATGCCATATCCATTTACAATATTTTTTCAAAACACGATAAAACGTGGACAAAGGGATGCCTGTTCTACTTGAAATCACTTTAGCTGATCTGATGTCCTTGTTATAATACTCTAAAATCAACTTCCTCTTCTCGAAATCATCCATACCGAGGATCACTGAAAATGTCGTCTGCTAGCAAGTAAACCAAGGGGGATAACTCTTCACAAACTAATGAAAAAGGATTAACGGAGTTGTCTCTCTTGAATGAAACCAAGCACTTGATAGCTGGCCAAGGTTGTTTATACTAGAAATCCAATTAAACATATTCCTAAGATTCTCAATAATTTCTGGTCATACTATAAATATTAACATATCTAGTTTTACAATATAACACGGCTAATGAGTTTTGAAATTATATATTTATTGCTTAAAAGGCACCAACAAGCCAAACAATTCCTTTAATTTCTGATTTGCAAATGTAATTGTATGTAGCAAAAAACATAAAAAATGAGAATATGAATTACAAACATACTTGCACTACAAATTCCAGACATAAAAAAGATAAATCAATTTTATCAAATAAGGAAAATGGTAATGTTATGGTATCGACATTGGCATTAATTGTTACGGTAATGACACAATAACGGTAGTGACAGGTTTAATAATAGCCAGTTTTATATGTTTACTTTAATAGCTGATTTAATGACCTTTCTCAGTCAGATATTTCAGAATGTTTGAAGAATATGTAATAGGCAAATCTAGAATTACTTATAATCAAACATAATTAAAACACAATTATCACTTATTCATGACATATAATATACATTGCTGGTTATGAAAAAACATATAAACAAAATTATAAGCGTACAATCGCAAATCAAAAGTGCAATATTGTGTACTTCGGTTTACTTCCCAAGAAACGAAGCAGCCGGGATACCGAACCCAGTCAGAGCGGGTGGGTGTGCACTCAAGTGTAACGGCTGGTTCATTTGCGTATGCCCTCACGGCTTATTGTGTGTGTATATGTAGAGATGTTGGGTTTTGTAAATACATGCTCATTTTTTGTGTATAACATTTTGCAATCAACAGACATCATAACATGTCATGTGTTCAACTATCACACCTGCCTGTCTGTGTAATTACATAATGTGCTAGAGACCGAACTCGGGCCATAAATCAATGCGTTTTGTTTATGGTGTATAGCCTGATTGGTGTTAAGTTCAAATTGCATGTGGTCAGTGATAGCAGCTGTGTATTAAATATTGTCATTAGCAGACAGGCAGGCAGACACACAGGTGTCAATAAAACAAGACATTGAGTTTTGTCTGTGACAACGACATATCTATATCACAGTTAGAAATTCTGTCAACGCTAAATAATGACATTGCTTTTAAGTATCGAACTGAGAAAGTGACTCAGTAAGATGAACGTGTGGTGAAATTATATAAACAGTTAATTTACTGTCATAACATATAAAAAGCTCGCGCCTGTGAGATATCAACAAAACATTAGGAAAATAGCTCACACCAATGCCTTCACCGAGTATTCACCGGACAACCCGCTTCCAAGCTGCGCGAGCCTATTTCACTGCGCACGTGCTATGAGCGCAGCCCAGCTGTTGAAACCCGTTTCCCCCAGAAAAGTCGGGGGAAAGTTAGTGAAACGTTTGAACTCCGATTTCGCGCGGTTTTTTTTATCGCGTTATTTTTCAACTTTATAAGTTGAATTTGCATTTTTGACGATTTGTTTCAGTAAGTCCATACCGAAAGGTATCAGAATCTGCTAAGTTGTGTTTTACGTTGCATGTGACCTTTAAAGATGTCCCTGTCATGAAAAAAACCAGGTAGAGACTGCATGTTACGGCAGTGACATTGTGATGGTATATAATGTCACTACCCTAACGGCCCTATCTAAGCCGTGTTCTTCTTTATCACAGCCGTTACACTACCTTGTCCTTACCGTTACAAAAAGATCATAGTTACATGCTTATTGATTTTATTTATTTGATACAATTTTTTGGGTAAAATAAGATTCCAAAACATCTGATATCTTTGAATTAAAAATTTAGATATAAACAACATATACTAGAAAAATGTCACTGCCGTCACAAAATCTGTCCTTAATCAAACGTGTAATTGTGGCTACGTTTTGTAGGTTGAAACAAAATGAAATTTACTGACATCCAAGTTCACATTTTATGCGCTAAACCGGAACTACATGTACTTGGTCCATTATTTGGACTTCATTTCACATTTCATCCCTTTTGCGTTTATTTGGAGTAATATGTATTTTTGAGTATAGAGTATATGTTCCAGAATTTAAGAGATGTTCTTGAGTACAAAGGGTAGTGATTGTCTCGTTAATTTCAAGACGTATTTCCTACGACTCCCGCAATAACTTGGCGACTCAATTTAATGATTTACAGTATTTTTCTGACATTTGAGACCGTTCAGTCTTACCTTGCGATAATCCAATATCAATTTGTAGTTGGAAACATGGTCTCCCTCCTGTACAGCATTCTCAGTTCCAACCAGTCTGTTAAGGCTGTCAAACTGAAGCTCAAAGTTCACCTGTGAAGCAAAGTGAATCATTTTACTGGTTATATATTAGATTTACAGTCATTTCTTGTTTCTATACTTTAATAACATTCAAACCAGTTCATAAGGGAATTGTTCCTTTATCTAAGAAAAAGAATGACTCATTTTAACGCACCATTTCTCTTATACCTTTCACAAACAATCTCGAGCAGAATGTGTGAGTGAAACACAGAGCTGCACTTTTAGACCCCTTGAGTATTTTGCCTTATTTTCATGTCAGCATCCCATGTCGCAGAGATATACAAATAAAGCACTGATAACCAGCCCGTCCTTGCATAATGTCTTCAACAACTGATTCAATAAAGTAAATGTCTCATATACATATATATATATATATATATATATATATATATATATATATATATTCACACACGCTCGCACGCACACACACACACACACACATATGGAGAAGAGTATCGCAACACCTATGATTGCTAGCCACCATGTAAGCATTTGTACCCATATCATACGGGTTTTAGAGAGAGAGAGGATATGCACGTTCAATGATCAAAGACGATCATCACGTGCAAAACGTGTACCCGTCATTAAGCAAATATAAAGGTGTGTATATGCACAACGGAATGTATTGGAGCAAGTACCGTTTTGGCGAGGATTTCATAGATGTTGTGGAGTTGCCTCTCACTTCACTGTAAGCTTGACTACGTCATGATTAGATGAAATCTAAATGGACGACGGTCCATCATCGGGTTGTTGTACCACATGTCTATGACCATCCTCCGACTACAAGACCAGTCTTCATGAACGACAATGCTGGACCACACAGCACACAAGCCGCCAAGAGTCCAGATTTCAATCCCACAGCACATGTTAGGAATATTATGGGTCGCAGAATACGCCAGAAAGATCAACCTTGTTTGAATTGGAACAAGTCCTCCATAAAGAATGGTACGCAATGCCTCCACGTCAAATTGTGAACATCTGATACTGTCACTGAGGAGGGGATTCAGGGATGTTGTTGCAGTTGGTGGAGCTTAGACTAGATATTGACATTGGGCTCGTTTATTGATACTACGGTGATTTCCTCACGGTTGTATTCCAGAATGTTGAGAATGTGTTAACGCCATAGTACACAAGTTATCAACACTACAACACGAGTCAATATTTTGCCATGTTTACTTCTCTGAACAAACTACATAGTTTTGTTCGTTTAGATATCGCATTAATTACTCCTAAAAGGTCAAGTTAAACAGACGTTTGGAGTAGCGTCTTTGCTAAGGTTAATCGTAAAATACTGATTCTATAATAAATGGGGTGTTGCACTACCTTTCTCTATGCGTGTATGAACTGATACATCTAACATTGCAAATACGCTGGATGAAACATTAGCTACACTTTCCTCATAATCAAAACATAATCTACAATTTAAGACATATATAAATCAATCGGAAAAGATGAAAAATAAATTCTTATAATGGCGAAGATTACAATAAACAGCTGTGAGAATTTATCGACTTAGAAAAAAGGCTTTTGATGCAACATAGAAGCAAGGTATGTTGAAAGATTTCTGTACCTTTGCTTTGAGAGGCCGTTTGCATCTATATATATCACAATTTTAACAAAGATTGTTATGGACTGAATCCTCAATGGGGGTTGAAGTAGTATCATTTAGAATTATGTACCTTTGCTTTGAGAGGCCGTTTGCATCTATATATATCACAATTTTAGCAAAGATTGTTATGGAACTGAATCCTCAATGGGGGTTGAAGTAGTATCAGTTAGAATTATGTACCTTTGCTTTGAGAGGCCGTTTGCATCTATATATATCACAATTTTAACAAAGATTGTTATGGAACTGAATCCTCAATGGGGGTTGAAGTAGTATCAGTTAGAATTATGTACCTTTGCTTTGAGAGGCCGTTTGCATCTATATATATCACAATTTTAGCAAAGATTGTTATGAACTGAATCCTCAATGGGGGTTGAAGTAGTATCATTTAGAATTATGTACCTTTGCTTTGAGAGGCCGTTTGCATCTATATATATCACAATTTTAACAAAGATTGTTATGAACTGAATCCTCAATGGGGGTTGAAGTAGCATCATATAATTATCCCCATGAGAGGATGCATAAAATGGCGTCTTTCAAATATATGTTTCTTTCTACCTCAATTTCAAACTCAGGCGAAATGTTCAACAATTGCCAGCAACGGAGTATAAGGTGTAAATTGCAGCTTGGAAACTATGCTGGTACCGTAAGTCGCTGGTATTGTGACTTTAGTAGAATAGGACTGTATGACAGCCAGCACTCTCCTCCTCATACCCTTATGATCCTATGAAGGGGCAATCTACGGCATTCCTCGTGTAAAGCAGCTTCCAGTTGGACCAGGTTCTATACAGGAGGATCCCTTTGTTGCACACAACGACAAATCATGTCTCAGATATGCTCCAAAGGGTTAAGATCGGGGCTCAATCAATCGTGAGATATGTCAGAATGTGCTTAACTAAGTTCTTTGTGTATATGTGACTATTTGAGGAAGATACAATATAATAAGGGGGTTATAGATGGTCAGCAATAAAGTTGAGGTCAGTAGTACAGGACCTGTCCGCAGGCTCTCCCTTTTTGAAAGTGAAAGGGAGAGGGAAATTAATATGCATGACAACTCATTAATATGCAAATGAATGCATGACGTCAGTGGTCAGAAAGGTCAAGGTGTAGCGAAAGAGTCTAGTGCGCTAATTCCATCTTTAATTAAACCCTTAATTAAATGAAAAAACAACACGTTTAGTCAATGCCATCGTTATTAGGACATCTGACGATTTAGTCATGTGACCCTAGTAGGTCTATTGTCGCGAAATATGATATTTGAAATGTTATGCGCTCACCCAAAACATTTTCAATCGTCCAAATCTTCAATGCAGGGTGTGTGTTTAAAGGACATAGCAACACAATGTCGTCTCGTAAATTAAACTATAGGGTGCTCTGAAAGGTCACGCATGACTGGGGCTTAGGGGTAGCCTTGTGGCTAAAGCGTTCTCTCGTCACGCCGAAAACCCGGGTTCGATTTCCCACATGGGTACAATGTGTGAAGCAGATTCATGGTGTTCCCCATCGTGATATTGTTGGAATATTGCTAAAAGCGGCGTAAAACCAAACTCACTCGTGCATGACAGACCACGTCCAGCGCAGTCCTTAGGTCGGAAAGTTAGGCAGTGTGTTGAATCTTGTGACAAGATGGCGGAGTGAGTTTGTGTTTGTGATTGTCTCTCACCTTGTTTTTAATTTCTCACCTCAATTTGGGCTCAACGAGTACATTTGGAGGTACACTTTCCATTGTCCTTTTCCATCCAAGCATCGAGTTGTTCAGCAATAATAGAGGTACACCCATTCAGGATAATCAACCAAATCGTTTTGATGATAACACTAGCAGCACAGTTTCAGGATAGCATTGATATGGAGAAGCTTGACATCACACTCGATCAAGTTTAACAAAGATAGGTCCTTGTTACATAGAACCAAATATAAACTTGCATCAAAATCTTTTAAAGAGTGCCTACATAAACATATTAAGCAATATATATTTAAAACAATGACTATTTTACGTCACAATAAAATGTGTGCTCCAAAGGATTACTGGATTACTTTGAATAATGGTAAAAATAGTAAACAAGTTAAACCACCCGATCTGGACACTCTTTTTCAATTTTTCAAAGAATTAAATGATCGGAATGATCAAAATCCATCACAAGATTTTGTTAACCCTAATCCAATCGAGTCAGATATCACGTGTGATGTAACAATTTCATAAGTAAAAAAGCTAAAAAGAAATAAAGTGCCTGGAATAGATTTTATAGAAAACGAGTTCTTTAAATATGCCCTCGAGGTGTTACTTCCCATACTGACTAAACTCTGTAACTTAATACTATCATCTGGATTTATACCAGAGGATTGGCTAACAGGAATGATTAAACCTTTATACAAGAAAAAAGGTGATAACTTAGATCCTTACTCATATCGCCCAATAACTATTCTTAGTTGTTTTGGTAAGCTGTTCACAAGTATTCTAAATGTTAGACTAACGAAATTCGTGGAATCTGAAAATACCATAATACCCACTCAAGCCGGTTTTCGAAAATATTTTTCAACTATGTTTTCGTAATGTCATTACTACGAGTCGGCGTCCTAAAAAATGCAAAACAAAAACTATATTGCGTGTTTATTGACCTTTCTAAGGCATTTGATTCTGTTTGGAGAGCTGGTTTATGGCATAAAATGCTTATCAATGGGTTTCAGGCAGGTTTCTCACGCTTATAAAAATATGTACAAGGATATTAAATCAACGATTTTTCAAAATAACAAGATCTCGCTTTTCTTTTCAAAGTAACTCTGGTGCAAGGCAAGGAGAGAATCTCCCCCCTCTGTTGTTCCCTTTCTTCATAAATGATTTTGAATCCTACTTAGTAAAGAGTGGGTGTTAGGGTATAAAACTATAGTACATTTCAGATTTCTGTGTAACTCTTTGGCTTCAACTTGTGATATTATTGTACGCCGATGATACAGTCCTGTTCAGTGATGATCCTAACGATCTTCAAAAATCTCTCGATGCATTTTACTGTTACTGTAATGAATGGAAGTTATCTGTCAATGTATCCAAAACTAAAGTTGTTGGTTTTGGTAGTGGTCCTGCGAAGTCATCTAAATTGACACTTCACTATGGTGATGAGCCTCTTGAGGTAGTGGACTCTTATTGTTACCTTGGTATTTCCCTTCATCGTAATAGAAGATATATTCATGCAATTAGAGCACTTGTAAATGCGGGCACAAAGGCAATGTTTTCTCTTCTGAAAAAAATCCCGTAACATAAACTTAACACTTGACTGGTAAAGTCAAGGTAAAATACCATCATTTATGAGGCCAAAATCTTGCATGATTTAAAAGTTATACCTTAACAAGTCAGAGAGAGAGTGATATATTTGAAATATGAACCTACGAAAATTCACTGGCCAGTCGGGCC